TTCTGTGATCACAGTGGATCTGATCTATTGTGCTGTGATCACAGTGGGAGGACACACGAGCACAGGAAACCAGTGGGTCAGAGTGATGCCATGTCTTCAGCTGGTGAAACTTTCCTGTGTTTTTAAAAGGGAATTATTAAGAAAGTCAACAAATTAAAGTTGCTGTGAAACACAGAGATAGTTTCGTCCATGCAGGAGCCTCCTCCTTGCCCACAAGCCTGTGCTTTGGGCAACTGGGAGCCTCATGTGTTCTCTGAAACTGCTTTGACATGAAAACTTGAACAGTGGCTCCCGTGTAACTCTGAGAAGTTCAGAAATTCTGGCTGTGCTCCTCCCCACAAACTCCCTCTTTAAACTTTAGACTTCCACCAGTGGGAGTTCAAGACTGGGATGAGGTCCCTGAACAGGGTTCACTCAAGGAACCCTGCGGTGGTCATACTGATGACAGGGTCAGGGCTTTCATCACATCCTTCCGCAAGAGCACGGGGCCTCACACCAAAACTAAGAGCGTTTGCTGCTTGATGCTGGGACCCCAGGCAGAAATGAAATACAACACAGTTGTTAAATGTTATAGATGTTTGTTGGAAACTAGTTTTGTTCTTTAAAATTTCAAGCCAGTGTCTCACAGACTGACCCCACAACATTACAGAATATTGGCACTGATCTTGATTGCCCCCACCCCAAACTTGATGGTAAGACACTGTTCCGGAAGACATCTCATAGTTTAGTCATGGCATGAAGAGAAATCGAGCTGCCGTGTGGGCACTCCATCCCTACTGTCTGGCTTTCAGAATGCTGGCTCTAAACACACCTCCAAGACAGAAAAGCTGTCATTAGTCTCACCCAGCCATAAGTCCTATGACGTACAGTAATAACAGGCCTGACAAGATATGTCCACTGGTACAACAACAGCACAAAGGTTATGGGAGAAATCAATCACTTTCCGATCAGTTTTAAAGCTGCTACACATGGCAGAACTCATGCCTGCCTAACACTGTTAACAAGGTCAAGAATCCAAGGCTAGTAGGTAGCAGCTCTGAGAGAGAGCCTACAGTTGCTATTCTTCTGAGTGGAGATAGCAATAAACTGATGCCTAAAGAGTTAGCATTCTAGCAGATGAGTGCATCTCTAAGTCTTATGAGTGAGATGTCTCGAGGTAGATGATTAACACAGAGTCCCACAACTGTTCAACCTGCAGAGAACAAGACGTTGCCGAGTGCTCAACCCTGAATGAGACATCTGTATAAGATCCCATCTTCCAATGTTCAGGAGATGGGAATGGAAAGAGTGTAAGAACCAGAGACCGTAGGTGACTATAAGAGCCAATGTCTTCTGGGCTGTTGCACATATGGGCTGACTGTGGCTGTGTCCGCATACACCAGACCCATACGAGATCAAGCCAGACACAAATCTCAACATGAAGTGGGGAGATCAGAAGGTCCCATGCCTAGATGAGAAGATATTGGCAACTGATGGCTTCTGGGAGAAGGAGGAATTTTTCTTCAGGGCTGCCATCCCTGGGAGGCTACCCATACTCTGCTAGACAGTTCTACATCAATGCACATGTTAAGAGCAATAAGTGGACTCTGTGGGATAAAAAAAAAGTCAACACCAGAGAGCTAGTATCTAAAATAAATAAAGAACTCAAAAACTAGACATCAACAAACCAAATAATCCAATGGGGTACAGATCTGAACAGAATTCTCAACAGAGGAATCTCAAATGGGCAAGAAACACTTAAAGAAAGGTTCAACATCCTTAAGCCATCAGGGACATTCAAATTAAGATGACTCTGAAATTCCATCTTACAGCTGTCAGAATGGCTAAGATCAAAAATACAAGTGACAGCACATGCTGGTGAGGATGTGGAACAAGAGGAACACTCCCGCATTCCTGGTGGGAGTGCAAACTTGTACAGCCACTGTGGAAATCAATACAGTAGTTTCTTAGAAAGTTTGGAATCTATCTATCTCAAGACCCAGCTATGCCTTTCCTAGGAGTATATCCAAAGGACACTCCATCCCACCACAATGACACGTGCTCAGCTATGTTCATATAAGCTTTATTTGTAATAGCCAGAAACCAGAAACAACTTAGATGTCTTCTACCAAAGAATGGATAAAGACAATATGGTACTTATGTACAATGGAGTATTACTCAGCTGTTAAGAAAAATAATATGAAATTTGCAGGCAAATGGATGGAACTAGAAAAAAATCATCCTAAGTGAGATAATCTGAACCCTATATTTAAATATAGTATTACTCACTTATACGTGGATATTGGCTGTAAAGTAAGGAATAACCATGCTACTATCCACAGACCCAGAGAGGCTAAGTGACAAGGAGGGTTCAAGTGGGAAATAGAATATATATCTTGGGTGGATGAAAAGGGGAGAAGGGGAGGGAAGTGGGGACAGAAACAGGAAGGACCAGGTTTAGGCAGGATGGAGGGAGAGAGTACTGGGAGAGATGACTGCAATGGGGTCCTCTCTGGGGTGAGATAGAAAACTAGTGCAATAGAAACACCCAGAAATCTATGAGGGTGACTCTAGCTAATGGGGTAAGGATCCTTAACTGACCATCTCCTGTAACCAGGCAAGACCTCCAGTGGAGGGATTGGGACAGCAACCCAGCCTTAAAACCTTTGACCTACAATTTGTCCTACCTACAAGATGTGCAGAGGTAAAGGTGGTGTAGAAACTGTGGGAGTGGCCATGACTGGTCCAGCTTGAGACCCATGCCACGAGAGGGGTCCCACCTCTGACACTGCCTGGATATCCAGAGGCTGGATATTCCAGAGACCTAGGAGAAAACTAAACACGACTGAAAAAAAAAGATCAATGAAATGATTCCAAATGATATTCTGCCGGCTTTGCAGACTGGAGCTTAGCATAACCGTCATCAGAGAGGCTTCATGCAGAAACTGATGAGAGCAGATGCAGAGACCCACAGCTGAACCCTAGGTGGAGCTCAGGGAATCTGGCGGAAGAAAGGGAGGGAGGATTGCAGGAGCAAGAGGGGTCAAGGACACCTCAAGAAAACCCACAAAACCCACTAAGCTGGGCTCACAGGGGCTCACAGAGACTAAAACAACAATCATGGAACCTGCAGGGGTCTAACCTAGGCCCTGTGAACATTTTAGTTGTGCAGCTTGGTCTTCTCGTGGGACGCCTAACACTGGGAGCAGGGGCTGTCTATGACCCTTTGCTTGCTTTGGGGCCCCTTTTCCTCCCACTTGATTGCCTTGTCCAGCCTTCATATGAGGGGAGGTGCCCCGTCCTATTGCAACATGATATGCCATGTTTGGCTGATGTCCCTGAGAGGGCTACTCTTTGCTGAAGGAAAGTGGAGGAGGAGTGCATCTGAGGGAGAAGAGGGGTGTAGGGGAGGGACTGGGAGGAGAGGAGGGAGGGAAAACTGAAGTTGGGATGTAATATGTGACAGAAGTAGGTTTTAGAAGTCAATACATGAAATCGAAGGGAATAGAGGTGGAGAAAGGAGATGAGTTAGAGGGGAAGACATGGAGGTGAATTTGATTAAAATATATTATATGCACTATGGATTTCTCAATAGGAAAATGAGAAAAAATTTAAACCTGAGGCTGGTGAGATGCCTCACTGTGCAAAGGTGCCTGCCACCAAACCTGGTGATGCGAGTTTGGTCCCTAGGATCCACACCAGGAGAGGAGAGAACCAGCTCTTGCAAGGTGCCTTCTGATTTCCACACTCACACACATGCGTGCACACATCACGTGTGGTGGCTCACTTCTATAATCCGAACACTCAGGAAACTGAGGAAGAACTGTTATGAATTCATAGGGCTTCCTGGCCTAAAGAATGAGCTCATTTTAAAACAGAGAAAAACATTTAAAAGGAAAGAAAAATTCCAGGTTCTCTGAAATCAGCAGGGCGCCCCACCCCTTCCCCCTAAAAAGGTTTCAATAAGTCTTTCTCCCTTTGTATCTTTTGAGACTTATTACACTTTTCTCCTACTCTGTGCTGTTCTCTGATTGTCCATTTTCTGGTTTCAGTTTCTGCTGGGATTCAAGGCTTTTTAAGGGTCTTTAAGGCTGATGAATGTGCATGATTGCAGTCATTAATGTCTTTGTGTTCAAACCTCCATCTGCATCTCCAGGATCCTAGCAAGCTGCTAGAAATTGAAGGTCTGGAGTGTGAATTAGATGCTTTAAGACTGGAAAGCAAGCTCAAAATGTACCTTCGAGGAGCCGTTGAGGTAAAGCCTTAAGCCCAAGTTAGAGGTCCCCTGGACCGCAGCATCACTGGAGTCAGACCAGTTTGAGGCCCTTGGGTGCAGGAAGCCAGAGGCCATCAGGGGAGGTGGCTGAGAACAGGTTAGGTGTGGATTTGAGGAAAGGCTTAGAGTGTGAGTATGTCACACAGCTCCTGAAAGTCCATCCTTTCTGCTGGAAAGGACCCATAACACAAACCAGAGGTGGTGATTCTTGGGTAGTGAATGAAAGATGTAAGCCCTAGCCAGTAGGCTCCAGTTAGAAATAAATGGTCTCTGACTCCACTCGTTCAAGAAACACGATGAGCTGTAGCCATGTTTAAGCCTTTGGCCTGAATGTCTTAGAAGGAGCCTACTACAGGATAGGAAGGATCATTGTGGCATCCTTAGAGGAATCAGGGCCCTGGTCTGATGACCTGGGGATGGCTTATGTCTGACCCCATAATCTGCCATTTCCCCTGACTGCTATCACCAGCACTGGCTCTTCCAGGTGGTGACCATGGCTGGCTTCCCATCCTAGCTTCGCACCCCTCAGCCAGCCATTCAATGTGCCCCTTACAGGAACAGCTACACATCATAAAGAGACTAGACAACATACTGCAGCGGGCCATTCGCCTGGGTAACCCCACGACCATCCATGTGCTGTGTACTGCACAGTGGAACACCTGCCTGCCCCTGCTGCAGCGCAACCTGCGACATCACCTCCGGAAGCCACTGACCAACATCGCTGAGATTCTGGAAAAGGTTGATAGGTGGGTACCGTTTATTCTATGTGTGGGGAGAACTGGGATAGAGATTTTCAGTACTACAAATAGATCCCAGAATGTATGCACCCTGCTCTCACCATCACCTGTGGGGTAGACTGGTACAAGGGCCCAGTTTCACTTGTTCAGATGATGCCTTACAGTCACCTAGGCAACCTAGATATAGAATCCTCACAGCATAAACAGTCCTCACTCTATCCATCCGTATAGTGGTAGGATTATCTGGAGAGAGACTCGTAAATGCATTCTCAATGGCCATTGCGGATATGTGGTGGACAGGCTATCATAAGCCAAAGACTCCCTTCTGCTAAGTGCACCTCTCTACGCTCACACCATACTGCAGGGTCTCTGTCATTCCACACAAACGCATGGTTTTACTGATCCCTTGACTTCATTTGTACTGTGGATGAGTATTTGTATTCAACAGTAGGTGTTCTTCATCGCCCTTTGTGAGCAAGCATCTTTCCTGTGCTTTTGATGCTCGTCTCTCTGTTTTGTGGCCTGCCTGCTCAGATCTTATATCTCTGCCAGTTTGACACTGAGGTCTATAGGCATAAATTTTTTTGCAACCTACTTTTAATAAGGGTTCAACCTCTCCTCTAGCCCACCACCCAGCAGAGGTAGTGGAAGAGAAAAGTTATTAGGATATGAGGGAAGTAGACCTGTTCAGCAGTAGTTCTCTGGGGGGTGAGCTTGATCTTCTTTGGCAACAGTCCAATCCCATGGCAAATACGAAATATGACTCAGCAGCTACAGAGTAGTCCCCTAGGCACGCAGACACTAGGCATGAACCAGCAGCCACAGTCCAGTCCTTTCAGCAAGCAGACACCAGGCATGAACACCAACCAGCCTGAGGTGAGGCCATGGAAATTCCATAGGAACCTCACATCAGTTCTTGGGCGAGTTTCCCTCAATGGCGGTGTTACCACAGGTTAAGTTCAATACTGCTATGTAAGACAAACCAATACATGTATGTGTTAGTGAAGAATAGCGAGGTAGAGCAAACCAAACCAAGACTCAGTGCTCATCTGCCACTGTCTGTGGGGTCATATATACACTCCTTCATCAAAGGTCCTTTCACGTGTCTGGTCCAGCAAAACATCCTTTCGGCTGTTGTCTGCTTCAGAAAAACTTTCTTTCCCGTGTCTGCTTTAGCAAGATACCCTTTCACCTGTGTGCCCCAGCAAAACATCATTTGACATAACTGACTTTCCAAAGAACTAGAAGTTTCCACTTCAGAGGTCATATTGGCTTTATGAGTTAGCTGTGAGGTGTCTTTCTAAATCCCTTTCCAGTGTTGCCAACCGAGACAGCTACTTGTCTTGGTTCCCATAATCAACAGGGAGACCATGCAGGCCCTGGGTGGGGAGAAAATGCTTGTCTAGTTGTCTATATCCTGGGAAGATCTTCAATCTGAGACAATCCCTACGTCTGGACTGAAATGAGTGGGCCCTTCCCCAGAGTGCAGTGACACCATGCTCGAGCCCTTCCCTAGAGCACAGTGTCACCGTGCTCGGGCGGTCATGTAGCTCATGCTGTACATCCTGGGTTTTTTCAGTTGTAAAGATCCCAGGGAGAGGAGCACTGCATGTCCCAGCCAGGTGTGAGGCTCGTTCCCTCCACCCTGGCAGACAGACTCTCCACTAAGGCTGTGTGCATGCCTAGCCTGGCAGTCTGTGTTGTTTGATGCAGACCTCTATCCCCAGGAGGTAACTGGATATTCTAGAATCCTCTCTTCCTTCTGTTAGCTTTCTTGCTTCTGTGTATCTCTTGAGAGAAGGGCTCCTCTAAGGCTACTACGGAGGCCTCCGTTACCTCACACAGCCTGCATGGGGGCACTTAGTTCCCACCATCCCTCCCTCCACCCATGGAGATGCCAGCCTTATGTCATCATGGTCCCGCCCCACAGCTAGCCTATGCCTATTGCTGGCAACCTTTTCATTCTAGGAAAACCGTGGTCTCTTATGTTCATTTCATTTTTGCAAATTACAGATCATCCCCTCCTTCCACAGAGCAGAGTTCTCCAGCTGGGGGGGGCAGGGGTGGGATGGCCGTCCTGGAGAACAGGACACGGCTGGTGGATACCCTCAGCTCTGCTGATCTGACCTGGTCCCACACCCTCCCAGCTTCAGGGAATGTGTTTGTTATTGGATGCTGGTTTGGCAGGTGTGGCATTCTTTAAACCCCTGGAAGGGCTTCTTTCTTCTGGTCTCTGTGGTCTCTGATGAGAAATCCAGTACAGTGTGGGTCTCTCTGTGCATCTTTTTCCTATTCCCTAGCATGTCTCTTTAATTCTTTAGCATTTTGGTTATAATATCTCAGGAGCCTTTTAAAATTTTCATATAATTCAAGGATGTTAAATGACACTTTCACCAGATTTGAGAAATTTTTAGCTATTGTTTCTTTGAATACATTCCACTGTCTGGGATGCTAGCTATACACATGCAGAATATGGGGTGCTTCTTGAAGCTCCTGGGGACTGTTCAGTTTTTAAATTCTTTTTGTCTTGGTTCTTCCAATCAGCCCGTTTGTGTTTTCAGACCCGTGATCTTCCTGGCTGTCCTCTCTGCAGCTGGCCCCGTTCTGCTTCTGACCTCTGGGTGTCCGTGCACTGGGTGGGCCCAGCACGGAAGGAACAAGGCTTATCTGGGCAGGTTCGAAGGAACTGGCAGGAACTGGCTTGAGTGCTGGGGAGAAATAGCCTACAGCTCTCATTATTTGGAATAATAAGGGCTATATAAACCTTGGGGAGTGGGTAGGAGTTTTTGGGGTGAGTGTACATTATTGGGTGGTACCTAGGTGCTAGGAATGCTCCATTTACATGAAGAGGAATTTCAGGTGCTTGCTGGGCATGTCCTTATAGGGAGAGAGGAAGCTAAACCTGTAACATGGCCACTGAGCTGTGTGACTACCTCAACGGTGGAAGAGGTTGGGGATGCAAGGCTGTGTGCACTGGCGCATGCAGGCACACACACAGAGAAATCCTTACTCCTGCTGTCAAGATGAGATTTTTGGGATTTGGACATGTTTGGCCCTCACTCTCGATCCAGGCCATTCCCCAAGTCACACGGCTCACTTGTCCCATGCTCTGCCATCAGACTTGGCTGGGATGTCCCTCTCCTCATTCACCACAGCTTTTAGGTCAGTGTTTACTTGTCACCACTGTTTTCTTTTATCTGTGAGCAGTTTTGTGACATGTATATCTATTTGAAAAGGTTTATCTGCAAACCCCCAAAGCCAGCCTATCTGGGTCCAGACCTTGTGCTATCTTCTTCCATGTCTTGGCAGGACAGTGACTGATGACTCTGTATTAAGCATTTCAGGTGGGATCCTATGAAGCCTTTGCGGTTTTTGTTTGTTTGTTTGTTTGTTTAACACAGGGTCCTATGTAGCTTGTAGACAATGAAGCTATGACCAGCCTTGAACTTGTTATGTAAATCAGGTTAACCTCCAACTTGCAGTGATCCTCCTGCCTCTGTTTCCCAAGTACTGTGATTACAGGCATGCACCATGACTGTTGCCATTTTAAAAGAAGTGTTGTTCTGTTTCAGTGGCCAGTTCAATGTTGGCTGATGGCCTTAAAATCACGGACTGGTCCACCTCTGCTCTAGCCTATCTCTGGAGGTCCAAGAGCTTCCCACACTCATCCCAGAGAAAATCTTCCTGTGAAGCAAGCTCTCTTCAGGCTGAGCTCTGTGTTTTGCTGGGACAGAGGCACAAAGATTTCACCAAGCCCACACTCTGCCTGCTGCCTGCTCTACTCAGGAAACACTGTGCCCACCTTCCTTGCCTTTCAGGGGCTCATGGCCACTTCCCTAGTGAGTTCCCGTACAGGGGACCCAGATTTCATGCTGTCCAGCATCAGTACCTAGGAGCAGGTGCCCTCTTGTTAGATAGTTTTTCAGATGCTGTGGCTGACTTAATCATACTTAGAAGCAGAGGAAACTCTAGCCTTGGGCCAGCTATTTGGCTTGTTTTCAGGTCGTGGACTCAGGTATTACACCTGCTGGTTGTGGTTTTCATTTCTGCCCTCTGTGGACTTCTCTCTGTGAATGACCCCTGCTGTCTGCTCCCAGCAAGATTTCACATGGACCCCTCTTGCTCCATCCACAGTAGGCACCATGGTGCACCAGGTTCCTGCTCCTTTGGGTAGCAGAGCTCCAACACCTCCGACCACAGGCCCTCTCTGCTTCTCTACACAGCCTCATAGTATGTATGTTCTCCCTGAGGTAGTGGGAATGTTGCAATCACTTTTATTTCTCCACCTTGGCAGAAAGTCAGTGAGCCATGGGCCACTGGAGCATCTCCATCCAGCAGTCTGTAGATTGTTAGCTCTGTGTCCTGCAGGAGTGTTTGAGGTAGCCCCTCCATCACTACTGTACAAAGCTGTTCCGATATAGGGGCTCCTCCAACCCTAGCTATAGTTAGCCATACTGTGGCTAAGTCTCCTGGGCAAATGTCCAGTGTATCCATCAGGCAAAGACAATAGACCACAGCATTGACACCAAGTGTATTCCAGGAGATAGAGGTCCATTGCAGTGGACAGCAGGGTAGCTGTGGCCTCTGGGTGACAACGGGAAGGCTCAGCATGCCCTGCGCTCACATCATAGTGAGAAGTACTACATGAACCCTTTTCAGTCGGCTTCTTCTCAGCCTGGGCCAAAGGCTTGGTGAGCTTATCTCCAGTGGTCTATAGCAACCATTACAATTTTTCTCTCCCTTTGTGAGGTTTCAAGACAAGATAGGAAAGAAGCTGGAAAGTGGGGTTCTGGACAGTCCTGTCGCTCTGTACCTCTTGCTGGTGACTGGACATGAGTCCCACAGGCTCACTAGCAGCCCACCATAGCTTCCTCCCATGTGCTGTTACCTCCAGTCTCATGATCCTCATGCGCTGCCAAGTCCACATGGAGATGGCATACATTGAGCAGGATGATGACCGGGTGGAGCCTGCCATTGAGCATATGCAGAAGGCCATGCGCCTGGACAGCCTGGGTCTCTACAAGGACAAGATCAAGATAACTTACCGCCGGCTGCAGCTGGGTACCATGCTGTACCAGTCTCCTGATCGTCCTGAAGACAAGGCCACTATGGCCATTGAACAGGTGCAGACCTAACCTTCTAATGAAAAGACCAAGGGGGAATCTTGGGTCAGAGAGAGCCTAAGGGACCATTTAGACCCAAGCATGATGTCCAGGCTCAACTACCCAAGGTCCGTATGGCACCCAGAAAGCCTGTGGGAGCTGTGTTGCCTGAGGGTGAAACCATAGATGCCTTGAGAGTCTCAGCTGTCCCAAGGGAGGGACACCTCAGCTATCCTATGCATCATCCTGTCTGTAGGCAAAGAAAGCCACCCTGAAAGACAGTGCCCGGAAGAAACGTGCAATCCTGGTGAACGCAGGCCTGGCTCTTGCCCCCGACACCTTCCAGATTGTACTAGACAGCGAGAATGAAGCCAAAGGTAAGTGCTGCCCCCTAACTAACTGCCATTGACCTTGCTGTGACATGCCTTATCAGTCACTGGAAGGACTAGAGAGGGATTGTGTCTGCAAGTGGCTGTTAGTAGCAGCATACTACACCCAGGACTTAACCTCGCTGCTCTAGAGGCTGGACATCAGTGATGGCGATGTGGTGGCCTAGTCGCCCTTGATACCATCTTCCTTGGCTTATAGATGGTCATCTTTTCCTCATGTCCTCACTGGCTGCCCTACATGTCAACCTCAATATCCTCTTTATATAAGGATTCAGTCAGACTGAACAGAACCCCACCCCCCAAAATGGTCTCTTCAACCTTGTCACCTATTCAGATCCCATCTCTTGAAAACAAGGCTTTATTCTGGGGTCCTGGGGGTAGGACTTGTAAACAGCCTATGTGGGGACACAATTCAGCCTATAATGCCATCTGAGGAATGAAGACAGCGGTCCTGAGGTGCTCTTTGGATCCAAGCTAAGTAGATTTCACTTTCCTGCCCCACTTACTTTGTTTCCAGTGGAGAAAAAGGTGGTGCTGTACCCTAGTGGTGGTCACTGAGCCCAGCTCTCTGGGACAAGCCAGCAACTCTGGCTAGATATTGAGAGTGCCGCTGTTGCTAGAGCAACAGGCAGGTCTTAGTTGGTGAAAGCACTCTCCTGGCGCTCCCTCCAGCACAGCACAGCTCTGGTGAAAGCACTGTAGGGACTGGAGCTTTAGAGACGACAGACTGAAGTTGAGTTGGCTGTGGCCCGTGTTGTGGGTCCAAGGCAAGGGACAAGATGGGGTAGATGGAGTCACGGCTCTGTGCCAGGATGATTGAATCCTCTGAGATAGCCCTTCAGGCTCAGACGTTGTCTCACACCACCATCTGCTTTGGCATTTGCATTGCTCTGGGCTTATTCTGACCCTCATGAGTCTGAGCAGCCATCGGTCTGCTGACATTGCATGGATGGGTCTGTCTTATTGGGTTGGTTCCTTTTATTAGATAAACATAAAGAACTGTCCACACATCTGCATTTTTACCAGAGGGCATAGTGCCAAGCTGGTACCTGTAGGAGATTCTGAGACTTACTAAGGTAGGGACTCCGGTAAGGAGAGTACCCTAGCAAATGGACACCTGTGTTATATAGGGGAGCACAGAAGAGGCAGGGCACCACCTGAAAGGCAGTGCACACAGGCCCAAGCTCCAGCTTCCAATCCAGTGTCTCCTGTACCCGACTCTGCACTGGGTTTTGGATAGGTGTTCATCTTAGATCTGAAAAGGAATTCAAAGCTTCCACATGAAAGAGACGGGACTGCTGGGCTCAGAAATGGACAGTAGGTGCTGCCCGAGAGGACAGGATGTGGGGGCAGGCCAGAGACCTGGTGTTACTGAGCCCACACAGGCTATCTGTATGTGTACATTTTTTGCAGCCTATTTTTATAACCATTATCTTGCCCGCCACCCACCAGAGACCATGGAAGAGAAAAGTTGTTAGGATATGGGGGAAGTGGACCTCCTCAGCAATAGTTCTTTGGGGGTAAGTTCAATCTTCTTTGCTAGCAGTTCAGTCCCATAGCAAATGCCAAATATAACTTAGCAGCTGCAGACCTGTCCTCTAGGCAGGCAGACACCAGGCACAAACCAGCAGCTACAGTCCAGTCCTTTCAGCAAGCAGACACCAGTCAGCTCTAGTTCAATCTTGAAGAAACCGCAATGCTCACCAAACGGCCCAAGGCAAGGCTGCAGAAGTGGCAAGCTGCTGCAGGAACCTCTCTGTAGGGTCATATTTGTATTCCCTCATCA